GAGCGCCGCACTGTCGGAGGGTCAGTGCTGAGGGAGCGCCGCACTGTATTTCTGTTTGTTGGAGATTTTTGTGTACAAACACGCTGCCGTGTTTCCTGTTTTGACCATGATATTCATTTTACTGTGAAACCTGGTGTGATCTTGTGTTAACTGCTGTTAAAAGCCAGTTCTGTGATTTGGGAACTGTTTATACTGCCTAATTTAATATCTGGACAAACAAATACTTTCTCATTTCAATAAGCCTGATCTCCAAGCTGGTGAGAATTGAAACTAAACTTTGGTGATTGCTGACCTTCAGTCAGAGTTTCTTTTTCAACCTTTCAATTGTGGCTTACTCAGTCTGTGATTTTCACCATACTTTCGTAGGGTAGTTACAGCAGTTGGAGACTAAATCTTCCATCACTCTCTTAAAGTGAAAGTAAAGCTCCTGCTACACTGTCCCTCATTAAATAGTCCCAGGACAGGTACAGCACAGGGGCAAATATAGAGTAAAGCTCTCTACTCTTAAATCAAAATTAAATCTCTCGATATTGTCCCCATCAAACAGTCTGAGGATGGGGACTGCACGGTGTTAGATATAAAGTAAAGCTGCCTCTACGCTGTCCCCATCAAAAACATCCAGGTCAGATTCAGTACAGGGTTTGACATCCTTGAAGTATTGTCTCTGTCCTCTGATAGCTAATCACTTACCTGTTTAGAACTCGTTTTCCTGCTTATCTTTCAGGCATTAGCAGCCCTATGTCTCTTGGGTCTTGTGGCATGGCAGTAGAATCTCTACCAGTGCGCTAGAAGGTCCTGGTTCAAGTCCCATCTTCCCCCAGACGTGTCATAATCAAGCTGAGATAACAAGGTGTACAGCTGGATGAACACAGCAGGCCAAGCAGCATCAGAGGAGCAGGAAGGCTGACGTTTCGGGCCTAGACCCTTCATCAGAAATGGGGGAGGGGAAGGGGGTTCTGAAATAAATAGGGAGAGAGAGGGAGGCGGATAGAAGATGGATAGAGGAGAGAGAGTTGCAGTGGGAGAGAGATTGTTATCTCAGATTTTCCAGCATCTGCAGTTCCTACTATCTCTGATACCATCTCTCATAGTCAAGCTGTTTGACTTTCTTTTAAAAAATCTAACTTGTCCCTTCATTTAAGTTATTTACATGGATTTGAATCAGTTGTTGCCCTCATATTGATCTCTGTGGCACTGGACTAGTTGCACTTTGCCAGAATACAAACGACCCATTACATTCTATTTTATATATTCAATCATGGGATGTGGGCATCACTAGCTAGTCCAGCATTTATTGCCCAGCAGGTATTGAAAAGTGAAAAACATTACTGTGGATCTGGAGTTATATTGGGGGCCAGACTGAGTAAGGATGGCAATTTCCTTCCCCAAAGGATGTTAATGAACCAAATGGGATTTTACAAAAACTGATGGCTAGAAGCTAGCTTTTCATTCCAGAATTTATTGAATTGAATAAAAACCAAAAGAACTGAGGGTCTAGGCCCGAAACGTCAGCTTTCCTGCTCCTCTGATGCTGCTTGGCCTGCTGTGTTCATCCAGCTCTACACCTTGTTATCTCAGATTCTCCAGCATCTGCAGTTCCTACTATCTCTGCGGATGCTGTAAATCAGGAACAAAAACAAAGTTGCTGGAAAAGCTCAGCAGGTCTGGCAGCATCTGTGAAGGA